CCTTTTGGCAAGTATCGCCCAAGTCTCAGAGAGTGTCGAACGGTGTACCTGTGAGATGGGCTTAACTCCCATCGACAGATGCTCCTAACTGTGGCTTTATTGGTCCAATTAAATAATCGTTCGATAGATTTGTCAGCGCATTCCCAAACCAGTATAATTTCTATCGCTATTCCTCGGAGACCCTAGGGAATCGATCTGGTGTGTAATATATACAGGCGAACCTCGATTGACGTCGCTCAACAGTTTTACATTGATTTCAATAGTGGATCAACCCGTCGCCATCTACATTCGCTAACTGTAGTATCGGCAGAAAGAAGCACGTGGATCTAACCGAAGAAACCATTGCGCAATCTGCACGTACTTTAATCAATAGAGCGGCTCTACGTTATTTACAGTCAATTTTGTATATATAGTTGTATGCACATACTATACATATATTATATAATATATAAGAGTATAAGAGTAGTATGTATTCTGTCTCCCTTTATTCTTACTCCTATAATTTTTCTTTTCCGACTCTCTCTCTCTCTCTCTCATTCTTCTGCATCTCTGATTCTCGTATGTACATATACATATATATATGCGTACGCATCCATCAGATTGTCTCCTCTCTGTCTCTCTCTCTCTCTTTCTCTGGCTTTGTATGTAATCTTTCTAATCACTACTTTTTTCTCTCCCTCTCTCTCTCTCTCTAGTGGCTATCAATCTCCTCCCCTCACACTCGCCCCTAATAAAACACGAGAAAATGTTAAGGTCGAAATCCGCGTGCGCCTCGTAAAGAGCCGAGAATTGCGAAGGGGATTAAGAGCGTTACTGCGGTCAGTACAAAGTAAAGGGTGGATTTTAGGGGTTGTAGACTTTTACGCTTTACGACGGGGGAGAGGGGAGGCTGAGCATTGACCATGGACCATTCGGATTGTACGAGAGCAGAGAAAACAGCCACGTGTTATTTCGCAGATTTGGCCACCCCTCACCCCTACCCACCAAGTTACATTACCCTTAGCATTGATTTTGTTCGGTACTTTTCTAACTCCACCCCCCTCCACCCTCCGCCCTCCCCTCTTTCAACCCTACGATCACCTTTTTTCTTTCCCATCTACCTTACTCCCTGACTTTCCTACACGCACCATCCCCTGCAACCAGCCTCATGGCCGATCGATACTTCTTCGGGATGGTCCTCGTGACGGATCGACGCTTCTTCCAGGATACTTGCTTTCTCTCTTTGTTATTCTCCATTCCTCTTTTTCTTTTCCATTCCTTCTCCACTGCTCTTTACGATTCTTCCACGCGGACCAGGACACTTGCTGATCTCCCCTGGTATTTCCGGTAAACGCCAGAGCTTTCGTTCATCAACCTCGTACGGACGATTTACGGTATATGCATTGCAAATACGTCACCAAAGGGGTGAAAAAATCGAGGATCCCCCAGGTCGTTCTCCAAGGACCATCCACTGTAGGTAAAACTGATCATTAGATCAAAACGTACGTATAGACTACGCTTGCTCTACCAGTAGTACACGGGTGACCAACCAGACGTAATTTCAAGTAGAGCTGGGTCCGTGCAAGATCAGATAGAATATGGGGTCTATTCGTGAAACATCCGAAGACAGAAAGTGTTCTCGGGGTGTACTCCCAGCGAAATGTCGTGTGCCGATCTCTCGAGTTTCTTCCACGTAACAAAGTATAAGAGGGTGGCTCTTCTCGGCGAGGTCGATGCGACCGACCAAGGGAAAGGGATGAATTGGACGGGGGTGGTAGCTGGAAAATTAAAGCTCCAACAACCCCAGCAGACCCGCACTTGACGACCTGCTACCGACTCCCCGATGTGCAATCACCCTCGCACCATATCATCCATAACAGGACTACCACCCTCGTCATCGTCCTCGTCCACTGAACCCTCCAGCGTCTTGGCGCCACTCCCTTACGTTATATAGAGACTCCCCTGACTTATTCCACCCTCTGTCCTCTTGTATCCTGCTTGACCACAGCCACCCCCGTATATCTCAGCTTCTTTCGTTCGTTCTCCTCCCTCGGCTCCTGGCCTGACGCCGTTAGCGCAGCTCTTTCATTTTATCCACGTGCTCGCTGCGAACTGCCCTTTACGGTCTACTGATAATTCGATCGGCACGTCCGCCGTATCTTACCGACAAAGTTCATGCTGGGATCTACAAGGAAAAAAATAAATAAATAAAGGGCACCACGAGAAATGTTTACCTCGTCGTATACTGCGCTTCCTCGATACTGCAGGGGACGATTTCTTTCGTGACATCCGGTTGTGAGATTTTTCTATATCCGCTTCTCTTTGTCCTCGTATCACTCTCAGCGTGTCCAATCGTGCGGCCCACTCTCTCCCCGGGCTTGGAAAGTCGGAATTTCGTGGCCTCGTCGACGGGGGGTCGGTGACCTGACGTGAGACGTGACGGAACAATGTAGAACAATTAACGAAATAGCAAATTATTAAATGACAACAAGAGTAACTGCAATCGTACACGTGAACAACCGATACTACTTTTAGTATTACTATCCGCCATTGCTACGAGTATTGTTACTACTACCACTGCTGCTACTACTACTTCTAACTACATGCTATTTTTAATTGATTACTGAACAGCAACGGAGAAATATCATCGCCGAGAACGAACGGGTCATCAAAGATTGAGGAGAGCAGGAACGGGGTGTGCCGTGTGTTAATAATAATGAAAGAAAAAAAAGCGAGAAAAAAAAACAAAAAATAACATAAATAAATAAAAAGTTATTAGAGGAACACTGTAGAATGAAAAATGTTGTAGAATTTAAAGGAGCGAGTAAATAGTTCACGAACGAGAGGGGAGAATTAATTGAGCTGAAGAAAAGAAAGAATTGGGGAGTACGATAAACCGTGATAGGAGGGATAAGAGAAAAAATAAATTAAAAAATTGCGGAAAGATTTGACGACGAGACAAAAGAAAATAATTAACAAAATTAACAAAAAATAGTGTTGTGAATGGGAATAAAGAGCGTGTGATATAATTAATTTCACCCTGTGGTTACGGCACTGATGGTGAATTTATTATTATTATTGTTATTGACGTTACTAGCGTCACGAAGCGTCCGATTCGCCAATCGCGGCCGTTATTATTTCTCCGCGACTATTGTCATCGTCATTGTTCATTATTATCCGCGATAGGCAAAGCTAGATCAGTTCAAAGTGGTTAGAAAACAAATTTCAAAGTCACCGATGTGCAACGCCGAACGCCATTGCCAATCCCGTGCGTATTATACGCGTAAATTTTAAACGCATCGCCATCTATATACGAATCCTAACAGAAAAATTCCGCCCATCCGGTCAAGCCAGGGTCTCCCCGCCGATTTTCTCGCGACCGGTCGCAGTCACGATCCGTCCGTCACGGCGACGCAGGCCGACGAACATCTTTACGCAAGGCAATAAAAAATAGAAACCACTAAAAAATTGTTCACGATTCACGGGATAGCTAGCAAAGGTCGATCGGCGCATACCGGTGCCGCATTTGTCGCGGCGTCGTACGCGATAAGCCGACGCGACAGATTTAGGTTAAGAAAAAAGAAACAAATAAAAAAGAGTATGGCTCTCGAAGCAAAATTTCTAACGCCGAACGAATCGAAGAGAAATCCCTGCGACTGCGCGAGTGATAAGTTTGACGATTAATAACAATAATAATAAAGACACAACAATAATTGTAATAAGACAGCACGACACACACAGGAACGACATTGTAATAATAATGGCGTTGCGATGAGAAATATCGTTTTTCCGGCCGATGTTAATACCGGTCTTGTTAAGGGCCCGAGTCCTCGTCGATACTTACCTGAACTTTATTTTCTAGCCGTGGTGGCGAAGGGTGCGCGGTGGGATTTGAGAGTGAAAAAAATACACAAAGGGTATTCGGCGACGTCGGCGGACGTCGTGATGGACTACGGAGAGATTTTGAAGTGACGGAGATTTTGAATAATGAAAAAGATAAAGAGACACTTTGACTTCCTCGCGGCGTCACATGTACATAAAACGTAACTCGCGGCCAGCGTGCGATTGCTCGATTCGGCGATTCTTTTTTTTCGTTCTCTTATGGCAATGCCAATTATACGAATAGCCGATTATTCCTTAATTCCATTTATATTTTCACGTCGTACGAACTACCGCCCTTCGTCACTTTAATTCCCATCGGCGTATAATCGTTCTCCACGATATCGCGTGCGACTCTTATCGATTCTCTGAATCGAGGGTCGAATGCGAATCGAGATTCAGGAACGGCTGAGGATTCGGGCCTCCGTAGTTTATTAGAATGGTAGAGAGCGAGTGAAGGAGAGTGCTAGTATGAGAATGAGAGAGAATGAGAGAGTCACGTGTGATGTATACTGTGCAGGATTGCCGAATGAACTTCGCAACCTTATCACGCTGTACCATAAAAAAAATAATAAATCCAATCGATTAACGTGCAGCCAACAATCTTTAAGATGATAAAAGAAAAAAACAGAAGAATGCATCTACGCGTTCCGAGGTAATCCTACTTGAGAGAATGTTATCGTTTACGTTGGTACACGGTAATTGATTTATTTTCACAAAGTTATGTACGTCACGGGGAGAGACTGAGAGCGAGAGAGAGAGAGAGTATAAGGTCAAAAGAAAAAGTGAAAGAAAGAGAGAATTCGAATGGATGAGAGTGAGAGAAAAAGTAGAGGCGTAGGAGAGCGATTAGACGATAACGGGATACGAGAAACGTACTCTACGAATAATAACGATATTACTATGATTATTATCGTTGCGGTTATGATTATGATTATCGCGAGGAGACGAATGAGATTTAAAAAAAATGAGATAAGCAACAACCACCAAACTATGTAATCATTTGTAAGACGAAGGGAGGGTGAGAATTAGTTACATTTTGAGTGTTGGAGAATATTCATTTGTAATTGTTTAAATCTAATGAGAAATGTACTGTAAAACTAGAGGAGGCAAGAACTCACTGTATAGGCACTAAAAATATATCATTTGTTGACATGAAATCCTTACGATAATTCATTCATTTTATTTGCTGCTCTACGTCACTTTGTACGATGCCACCGCTTAATCACCTTTATACAAATTCCACCTTTCACCAATGCCGATTAAGACCGCACTTCGGTCGAGTTTCATTGGTCCTGAAGTTTCTGTTTCCATGTAGATACAGAGATATGGTAAGTATAAATGTAATCCACGATTTCGCAATAATTCTCCAGTATTCGTTTGCGAATATTCGCACAGAGTAACCCTCCTATTTGTAACGTATAATCACTATTTACAGTAGTAAGAATACATTGCATGCGCCAGCGGCGTAAGTCTCTTGCATTGCCTTGATAATCCCTTCTCTCGACAATTCCCACGAGTCGTTGGGTGAGGATTAGGATCCCACGCCCATCTCACACGTCTAGCAACATACATTATCCGTAGAATGGTTGCTAGCCCAGATAGGTTAGTAAGCAGTGGGTAGATTTGCGATGGGGAGATACACTGAATTCGGTGGATTTGGTCTTAGCGACTTAGTCAAATTCATTCATGGTTTAGGCTCAAAGTTCCTTCGGTGTTAAACGACGTCACTGCTACTGATAGTAATCGATTGTCTTGCTCTAGGCACATGGTGAGTAAGGGTGAACTAGTATTTCTATGTCACCCTGTATTTACTTTCCTTTTCCCTCTCTTCTTGTGTTGGCATTATCTTGACGACGCGTTATCACGCGAGATTTCTTCGTACACGTATCTGAATTTATACACGGAGAACCCTTGCCAAATTATTCTAGAGGAAGAAGAATAAGGGAAGTATTAAAGTTATATGGATTTTGAATAATCAACCGTGAAAATCCTTGGTTGTGTCGTAAAAAATATTATAAAAATCATGATACAGGAAAGGAATAAAATAAATAATACAAATACTTTGCGCGGACCTTTGCACATCCCTCGACGCTCATTGTGACCACTGCCTTTAGTGTTTTCGTGTTTTCCTCTTGCTATTTTTTAATTACGTTTATTCAACTTTTTTCGCAATTCGTTACTGCTGCATCCTTACATCTTTCACGTCCATCTTCCGGTTAGCTTCAGGACTTAAGGCAACTTCTACTTTGTCAGTAGGAATTATGCTCAGCGAACCTATTTTTGTTTTTAAAAAAATCCAAAATTAAATACCTAACCACGTGATCCGTAATCGTGTCAATAATGAAAATAAACTCACCAATTCCTTCTCCCTTTAAAGATGTTCCTGAAGGAAATATGAAAAATAAAATTAATACTGTTTATTAGTCTCGTACTTAGAAAAAGTTCAATGATATATTTTTCTTAGTGATGGAAATATTTCACAGAACTTGAAAAATAATTATTCAGCAAAAAAATTGCACCCGTCTTTCATCGACACTTCTGCATCTCATAACTTACACTCACCGTTGCCCCTGTACTTGTTCAATTGTTGGTAAACCTGCTTCATACGCTCAATATTGATCCTCGAACTCTTGCTATGATTCACCATTGGCAACGAGTATTCTCGTCCTATAATACATTTGGCTGCTCGTTGCACACTGAGTGGTGCATTCCAAGGGTCGTGTATGTATCTCGTAGGAAAATTTTTGAGAATGGGTAGATAGCGTCTAATTACAAGTGAAAAGAATAGTTTAAATTCGAAGCCACGAAATTTGATTTGACGACGACTGAAGGAAAACCGATGAGAAAGCTACCGTATATAGTCGCCATTAGGGTCAGCCTTTCTGCCAAATCGAACTGGACAGTAACAATGAAAGAATTGCTGAAAGAATGAACTGCAGGATAACCACATCCACATCCCAGCATTAACGGACCAATCAGCATCGAGGAGAAGTTCGTCAAATACCTTGAATAAAAAAAGAGAGCTAGTAAAAATCGAATTGTCCCACTACTGTGTATACGTATATAATATACAGTATAAGAAGAGCATTAAATATCGCTCTAAATGCCAATGACATTGTGACATTATGATATTTTACCTTCATCCCTTCTTCCCAAGAGATCCAAAGGTCTCCTCTAGTTAGAAAGCATGCCACTGCGTGTCTGGCCAGGTGATGGATCCAACCTTCCTCCCTGAGCTGTGTCATTATGGCGTCGATCCAAGGAAAGCCCGTCTGTCCCTACGCAAAAGGAGACAAGACCAAGCTGAAGACTTAACCGTTTGATAGCCATTTCCATCGATTCTGGGAAACTACTAACGTTAGCCCATTTGGCCAGAGCCTCGACGTTCCTGTCCCAGGGTATTTGAACGCATATGGGATTTCCTTGCATCTTGTCAAAATTAGGATTCTTGGTCGCGGCACAGTAGAAAAATTCCCGCCATAACAGTTGTCCATGTAGTGACAAAGGCGGCACGGTCTTTTTAATCTGAAAATACAAGGTTATAATCTGAAAATGATAAAATCCACGCATAATTACGAACCGTACCTTTTTGTACAAATCTGTCAATTGATAATAAAAGAGTCGTGTACTCAGGCAGCCAAATCGTAAATAGGGCGACAATCCGGTTTGACTTGGTAATAAAGACTGGGGTGTCATCTTCGGCCGACCAAAACTCGCTACCCAGGCTTTTCTTTCCAGATGACGTTCTAACCTGGCCAGAGCTTCACTTTCGCCACCGACCCAGACAGGAGGCAAAAGACCTTCTGTATCGAAACCTAAAAATAGAATATAGGTTAGAATAACGTATTCTAGTAATCATAGGATTTTCAATATGCCAATGGTAAAGGTTACGTTATTCGTTTCTTGTACACAGTTGTAATATCCGTAAAAGATTAAAGATGATTAAATTGAACATAGTCAAATTTACTTGGACTATTGAAATATGTCAAATAAATCATCACCTAGTTCCTCAAGCGTCGGGACGCCATAAATCTCATCGTGATCATCCTTTAAAGGTGTGTAAGCATTTCCTACACAACCAGAAGTGACTGTAACTACCGGAGATTGCGGTGGATCCATACTGGCAACCACATTCTGAAACTGATGATAGGTCAACGGTGGTTTTCCACCATTCTTCTCAATGATCCTAAAAAGATAAAAAGACTTTGCAATTAAACACAATAGAGGTTAACCTCATTACGATCCACGCTAACTGTCCTTGGCACATTGTCAGTGAATCTAATGGAAAACTCGAAGCATCGCGTAAAGCCTGTTAAAAGCCGTGGAATGGATTGAAAAAGAAAGCAGAGAAAAGTCCTATAAAAATCGTTCGGAACAAGGACTGGAAATTCCATTGGCAATCTTCCACATTCCCGAAGGACCATGCTGCAGTTCCCATTGGAGCTAGAGAGTATAGCACATCACAGCGTATGAATACCGGTAGCCATCATATTTGCAGTCTAGTTTTACCCAAGAAATTCAATTTTTCCCTATGGCAAATGGTATATAATATCCGGAGTTTTAAGAGGTAAGTTAACTGTGTTTCACGTATCTTTTTATCAACCTTTTTCAGTTTTAATCAGGATCTAATAAACCTTCTTATCCACCGATCTCTTTGCCTAATAACCTGAGCAGGTAATATTACATAAATCCATAAAGTATATAAATAAAAATCTCCGTATCAAAATATGTATATAAAGGTTTGACTCGTCCTGATCGTCTTACAATCCACGGATTAATCGAGTCTCAGGATTTATCTGATTGTCAGGATCCATCATTAAAATAACCAAACGTTCTGGACTCACTGATCCAACTTGTAGAGAGTGTGTGAAACTTTCTGAACCACCGAGATACCCAGCTCCTTACAGAGTGCCGAGATGTTGTGATCCCGCACGCGGCCAAATGGTTCAGGATCTTCCTCAAAGGTCAGATTCGTAGTTCCCCATTCCTTGAACAGTTTCGGCAAGGCATCCGCTGGTTGACCACGAATCACGAACAAACGAGAATTCAGCTTCCTGAGCGAGCTGTCCAGGTCCTCCAGGCATTGCAGTAAAAATCTGCAAATAAAAATATTGCCAATAACAATAATCCTTAATTATAGTAACAGCCCATATATCCAAGAAATGTGAACCTTACCTCCATTTATTTATGCCAACATTGGTACTTCCGGCAAACCATGGATCCAGGACGAAGATACAACGGAAAGTGGATGCTCCAACCAAACCTTCTTGTAAAGATGGATTATCATGGAGACGAAGTCCTTTTCGAAACCAGTGAACTGTATGTTTTCTGCCGTCATCTTGCATCTGGCTCCCCTCATCATATATTTTACGACTTCCGGTCATCTCTCGATAACTCACGTGCGCACTGGGAACTTAATCACTATCCGATAGTCCCATAATAAACAGTCATCTGCATAACACTTTTATAAACGTTTTCATCACATTCTTTAAAACAACTTACATTATATATTATATTTATAGTAGTGTAGAAAATATTTTTGACAATTTTTTTTTAAATTTCATTCAACACTATATCCTCCGCACAAAAAAATCTCTTCTCTCACCTATCAGTTTATCACGGTAAAACGTTCTCGTGCATTTGGTCGTCACGTATCTAACACGTCTGGTCTCACGTATACGTTAAATATATACTTGCTGTCTGCTGCAATATATGCTGAACTAAACAAAAACTCACTATGTTAAACAGTCGCCATTACGATATCATTTTATATCTACTAAAGCACGCGAATATTCAATCGAATGCCTCATGACCAACCGGGTTAGCTTAACTGTATTTTTATTATACCACAGATATCTCCGACCGGGATAACGAAAAGAGGATCAAAAATGAACAAGCGCCGACTCCAGAATACCAGAGACTATCATGGATAAGCTGGATCCTTCAGTGAAACTACAATAATAATTGCAAATCTCCTGGTATCGTTTTGCGAAAGGGGATGATGTCGACCCTCAACAAAGGGATGAGAGGCAGGGTCTAAGGGTGTTAAGTGTTGAATGAGACGAGGAGACGGCAGGAGTATTCAGTATATACTCCTCACCCACAGTCCGACGTGCAGAAGGTAGAAAGGGCCGTATCTGGAAAACGTGACCACGTAACATTGACGTTATACCGTGACGTCAACAAACCTATGGATGTTTACGTCAATGAGTAAAGGATTCAAAATCTCATCGTCTAATAGCAAAATCCTTTAAACTGTGTGCATCGCCACGTGACGTTGTATGATTAATTAGGATTTAATTGTTTGCTCACCTTGAACAGTTGAAAATTAACAAAAAACCTTTTTTGAGTCCACCGACATAAAAGAAAAAAATTACCTGATGATAAACGGGCTTTTATGTCATTAGTATTTTACATTCGATAATGAAGCGTTATATAATAGATCTAGAGAGGCGAACGAAGCCGAATGATTAACGTAGGGCTCGTTACGTTGATAGGTAAACGTTATGTAATTCGATTATTGCCTATAAGTTACAATGTCAAGGGCATCAAAGGGTCCACTCTGTTAGATAAGTTCTTGGCCATTAAGTACAGGTTATGCTCGCTATCTATTTATTATATATGTATAAGTACCAGGCTACTTTACTAACCATGCACGGTGAAATTGCATAACCGCTATGGACCGGTAAAATATATGTATAATATATAAGCGTTTATGTACGTACGTATATACTACGTCTTCTGAAACTCGCAACTGCAAATTATAATATGGGGTACGTATCACATCGAGCGTACTCTAGTTCCAACGTCTGAAGCAGACATCGCTTGACAGTTTCTTCTGCTGTCTAATAATTAGTGTGCTTTGTCTCGCGTACTAATCAGCTTAGAATCCGAGGGAGGTTATTAATGCTAACGTATTTTGCTGATAGATGAATATAGAAACGAAGTCAAGATGACTTGAAGATACGTAAAAGGATGTTGAAGCTTCTCGTAAGAAATGCGTACATACAAGCATTTTTCTCTTCTAACGCATAGAGTCGCGACGATTCGATCGGTCGATATTACAGGATCCTACAAATTTATATGTGAAGCATTTCATTACCAAATGAGAAATAGAAAAGAATATTTACTGAATGAAAATCAATTAGGAATAACAAAAAGTCGTACCAATCAAGCTGTAACTTACAGAGACAATGCCAGTAGCGCACAATTCTGTTAGGAATTACCGACAGAGTAAAATATCGTACGGTGGAAACGGATCTAGGCACTCGAATATTTGCCTCTTGGTAAAATTATATAAAGATATAATTTGAAAATTATTAAAAGCAATGATCATGGAAAATAGGTAACTCACTAGCATATAATTAATGAATGCTGTAGACCATTGAGTATATTTAGAATTGGTAAACTGATAACAGTGCATGAGTTTCAAAAATATTTGAATTAGCACTCAAGATTATATATTCTCAGTATTGCATATATGGAATCCTAGAAGGAATCGGATATCGGTATGGCTCACCGTCTTATCTATAGTAAAGACAAAGAAGGATTCGTTCACAACAAGAATCTTAAGTAATTGCTCCGTTGAAAGTTCACATACGAAAATAAATCACATCACAAAAAATACACTGTCAATATGAGCTGCTCGCGCGGTACTGCTGATTGTTAAGGCCAACAGAACTTGGTGGCTGTCAGGGGGTCTTGGAGGTTGCAGAGTGCGAAGGGAAATATAGAAACCACGCCAAAAGCAACGTGACCGCGGATTTCGCGAGCAATACGATTGGTTGATTTTGTCACGTGGTAAGAAAGTCACGTTGCAGCCGCCGTGGTCTGCTGCCTTCTCACTGAGTCGTACGTTCCAAGTTCTTCGTCCTTTCATTTATTTTCGCCACATCCTTGCGTCACTTCTAAATTGCACTTAAAATATGGTTTAATAATTGTTTCTATTTACTCATGAACTCTGGGAAAATAATACGGACAATTAATGCTGGATCTGGTACATCAGTTTACCAGATTCTCCGCTTCCCTGGATGAGACAGCCTAAGTTTGGAATTCATTCTGTTGTCACGTTGTTCCGTCAAAGTGCTTCTATATTGCGTTGGTAAAAATAGAATCAAGGATTTTGGATAAAATTTGGTAACGTTAGTGAATTTGATTGATGTTCAGGGTATTGACGTTTTGGATAGAACTCTAGTGAATTCCTTGGGGCAGGTGTCAAAGGACTTGTGATCTAGATAAAGATGTAAACTTACTGCTTGATATACATTTGGGGAAATTGTTATGGGAATTTCAGTCAGGTGTTTTCCTAGGACAATTTCACTATTTGTTGTTGTAAGTCTTACGTAAGAAGTGTTACAAGGATTTTTACTCTTAATAATATCCATGACGCTGTTGCTCGACGTAGGAATGTTTCGGAGAGTCTTTTTAATCTTCTTTTTTTTCCAAACACAATTAAGATGAGTGTGTAATAATATTATTTTATTAAATCACTCTTGGGTACAATGAACATGGTAAATATTCACGCAGAGAAATGCTTGTTCTTTTCTTGTCACTTAATTTTTTCGCACGCCATTTTCGATCAGGGCAAACTTTTTCTCAATTCCGATAGGGATACCTTCTTACCAACCAATGAAAAGTAAAAATTAGGACCTGTCGGTAACCCGGTAAGATTTTGATCATTTTAAAGATTTTTCGATTTTTCTTAGGACATTTATTTTCATTCAAGTAGTTTCAGGCACGTCCCACTAGATGGTGCTTAAGGTTTTTCTTTCGCGCTATCAGATAACTACAGCTGAGAAAGGCCAGTACGTGTATTATAATTTTACGTTCGTTCGAACAACTTCTTTTGTCTTTTATAATTCAATTAGTTATTATACCACTGCTGTTAAATCTAAACTATTTTCATTATATAGGTATAACTATTACTTTGAGGTTTGTTATTGTTATTTTACTTTATTCTAACGTACAGAGCGTATCAAAAAGTAACACAAGTAATTCCCTTTTCTCTCATTAATCTAACGTGAAAGCTTCTGTTACTTTTGCCACACCATGTACCATAAATTGCATTATATATTATATATATATATATATATATATATATTTGTGTGTATAACGTATGTATAAAACTGTCTCTTGCTAAAAATCCATAGTGAGTTTCTTTGTTATTCATTTATTCATTTTGCCGTTGAATTTAAGACTACGCATCATTAAAGTCTATTAATAATCCGTTATTAATACATAATATTTCATAGTATTTTGTTGATCTATAACTCTAGATATTTTTTTGTCTATACATAATTGTATTTCTTTTCGTAATTTCCATTCGTATATTTTTTTTGTTTCTTTCTTTCTTTCCTTTATTTCCTTACAGTATATAGAGCTTAGTACGTTTTTAGTACGACTTCTCCACGCTCATAATTTTCAAAAATCACGACGCACCGATAACGATCCTTTCAAAAAGTCGTATATCCCCACGATACCTAATACCAAATTTTCTTGTGCGAGTTTCGTAAACTCGTGTCTAACTTTTAATTCATGCAATATCTAAATTCATATACAAAAAAAATGTTTTGAAAAGAAATTGAAAGACTAATATAAGGGAGTGTAACTTACAATCCTAGACAAGATGTCGCGAACAGGTAAAGACACTCTCGTATGACTTAAATCTATAAAAAGAAAAGGAAGGATCGATCCATTTGTGCCTTTTGCTACGTCGGCACTCTCGTATTTCCAAAATGTATTTATGCGTCACCATTTTCATTTTTTTTACTCAAACGACAAAAAAAATACGAAAAATCGGGTAATACGCTCTAAAATTTCCCGTAGATTATATACAAATCAAAAGTACGACGTGATACAGATTTTCGTAATCCTGTCACTCACGATGAAAGACAAAGATTTATTTTATATTGCTCTAGTCAAAGATAATTGTCGAATGAAAAATATAAGTAAACATAATTCAGACGTGCATCGGCTAGTAAAAATTATTAATCTGTGATTAAAAATTAATCTTACAGTATGCTGCGTGTATGCATTGACAATTCCGCTTAGTAATAATTTTTCTTCGGATACCTTGGCGCGTGTATGATAAAATAACATAAATATTCAGAATTAATAAATCCGAGACATTTTCTTCAAATTTGTATACAGTAAGCGGTACCATACTGATAAATACTTGTATACATGGAAGCTGACAAGGAAGAGATATTGCTTTATGGAAATTTAATCGTATCAATTGTCAACAGTTTTTTCTTCTTCTATGAATTACGAAATTCAATACAGTCCCGTTTACGATAAGAATCGAGTTTCATCAATCCTGAATATATGAAGTCTATTGCCCTTACTCATACCTCTCTTTTAGCGTTAAGAGACGTCTATTAGTCGTTAAAAGACAGCAGATAGCAGTCGATAAAAGACGTCTCTTAACGTTAAAAGAGAGGTATGAGTAAGGGCCTATATGGCGATTAACTGGTATCAAGAATTTACACAAATACATATAACACGTGAGGATGTTCCAAGGGGTTTGTAAGCTTCACGATATAACAGATAGGGAGGGCTTAAGGATTTCGTATATAAAAAATAGCTGTCTGTCGCCAACCTGAGCACATTGTAGAATTAAAAGCGTACTCCTCGATTAAAAAGAAAAAGACAAAGCACGATTAATTCATTTCTTTGTGTCGTTACTCACTTTCTTTTTCGTTTTGTTTTTTTTTAAATACACTGACTTGCTCGAAGTGAGTGTCGTCAATACGCGGCTAACGTTCTACGAATTCCAAAACGAATTATTATTAAATGATATAAAAAAGAAAAAGAAAATTCAGCGATCAGGAAAGCCACGTCAAATATACAGTCCAATATATATGTATATGTAGTTTACAGATAAACATTGCGCGGTTGAAGATATTGGAGCGCATTATAATTCCTGAAGTTCCTTAATATTGCCACTTCTATACTTCGAAATTATACGCCTCCATTGTGAAGTCCTCGTTACTTAATAGGCATTCGCTTTCTCGAAAAAAAAGAAAAAAAAAATCTTAAATAGTCTTGGGGAATGAAACCTCAATCGGTGAATTCGGTTTTCCTTAATTATAGTCAACCCAAAACTATCCAGGTACGCATGTTAATTCGACGCAAATAATTTTGTTAAGATCGATAAAATATAATACAATGTTTATCGAATTTCAAGAACGTTAACTTCTACGTTTAACGTATTTATGTATATATATCGGTGTGTAACCTGTATGATTAATTGTGTATGTCCGTGTCCATGCATGCATGCATATATTATGTATAGGAACATCCATTTTGGAGGGCTCGTATTAAATGTCTCAATATATTTGTCTCTTATTTAAGTGCACGTCTCTGAGGCCTTCGACGCTGTTTATTGTGACTCCTTGTAGTTTGATCGCTTCTTGATTGATTGGCAGTGCGAACGTTAGGTAGTTCATTGATGCTTCGCCCAATATCCACAGGATAAAAACCCAATTCGATGTTTTCACTTTCTAGAGCTCTTCTAGAACCTCTAGTTCGACCTGCGATTCTTTCCATTTCATCGAACTTCGCTTGCAATCTACAGGCTAATTTAAAATCTTTCATCTCTTGTAGAAGTAGCCTTTCCATATTTTCTTGTTCCTTGATAACATCATCGTCAGTCGGACTATTGGTATTGTCATCATTTATTACTTCCATCTGGACATTCGTCATCTGCGATGAACATCCGTTAGATCTTGGATCGTTACAATTATCGAGTAAAATGTCATAAGTATTTTCACTGGGCTTCTTGTCGACTTCATCCGCACTGAGATTCTTCCTTGCGTTCCTGGTCGTTCTCTTTGTGGTCTGTTTGATCATCCTTGTAGATTTCCGTGGCATCGTTGTCATCTCCGTCGAGGAATCTATCACAACGCGTGTGGTTCTGTGAACCCTTTGTCGCTTTGCTTTAGAACCAGATTTTGGTGGGTTCTTTCTCTTGGATTTAACCTCGGAGTTTTCTGATAATTCTACGTAGATAGTGTTCTCGATGTCTGTTTTACTTGGACCTCTTTTCCGCCTTGTACTTCGTCGGGAGGGCTCAGTTTCCGGCACTGGATTTTGTATACTTGGAGATACTTCCTTGACGTGATTTACTTTTCGGTTTTTGATCCTTTCGGCTATGTTTTCGACTGCTGTGTCATCTTCTGAGAGTTCAGGTTGATCACTGGGATACGTATCTGCTCGCTCTGATGAACATGTGAAGTTCTTATCGGTCTCAAATTCTTCATTTTCTTCATCAAGGTCTTTTGAATCTAACGTGTAGACTGGGTCTTTTCTATCTGCCCAGGAGTTCTTTCGCCGTCTAGATTTCGCAAGGATACCATTTCTTACTTGAGACTTCCAGGTCTTGTTTACCTTACCAGCATCTAATCCTTCGTCAAGGATCAACTTCTTGCTTACTTTAGTGCCATTTATTATTTTATTTATAGGTTTTGTGTAATTCTTGTTACTATCAAATGACAGCTCAGAGGCAAGATCAAGCCTTCGCACCGTATCAGATACGTGAGATTTCACCAGTTTATTGGAGATGCTCTGTGATTGGAGTAAGGACGTTGAGGGCTTCCTGGTAATTTCCATTTCAACACTTTCTTCACTGGTTGGACTCTGCTTTGTCTTCAAGTCTTGTCTCGTCTTGCCTGAAACACAGATACGCAAAATCGTAATGTCCATTTGTACGTTTAAGAGTAAAAGATACTTGTGAACGCGTACTGAATACAATTCTACGAATGGCAAAAATGTTTACCTCTAAAGGCACTCCAGGAACAACCAAACATTCTTTTCAAATGAGTTGGTGACGGAGGTTTTGGCACGGTATTGGACGCTCGTTTCAAGATGGGAACGACTCTAATTAACTTCGGATCTATTTGCCTGCCGTCTGTAACAACCAGAAGGGGCAGCACCCGTTAAATTTCGTATACACTAAATATTTTTGTACGTCCTCGCTGTCGTGCGACTTACCGGAGGAAATTTTTAATGGTGTTCTTGGCATGGCTTTGATTGGTTTGAAATGATGAATTTCTTGATTGATACTGTCATGGCTACCAGCACTTTCGGCACTGCCGATTCTCTCATCGTCATCGCCTGCTGTCATGCAGACTTCCACTCCTAAACTCTTCTTCTTGCTATTCAGGACGTCATCTGGTACATGCAATTCTTCTTTACTCTGCATGCTATAAATTTTTGAACCAGAACAACCAGGCTCCGATATATAATTTGAACTACTGAGTTGAGTGAGTTTTGGCACAGCCTGATGCTTCAGTGTCCGCGTAACGGCGTTATGTATCGGCATTGATTTTTGACAGCAGAATTTATCGGGTGAGGTTTTATATATACTTGATGCACCTGCTTTCATACTGGAGGCGTAGCGCTCTACGCGAATTTTCGATATTAAGGCAATATTCGATTTTCGTGGTTCGGTACCATCTCTGCATTTTATTATGGGCTTCTCATCTTCCAGACCTGAACCATCTACCTGAGATATTTGAACACCTCCCAATGACAGAAGTTTTATATCAGGCTTAGATTCATCCATGCTGTTATCAGTTTCCAGTTCTGAATTATCTGTATGGTAATTTGTAACTGTTTTATTCTTTTCGGCAACTTGCTTTTTTGCTAATGTTTTAGCTAGTAACTGATCTTGTGCCAACTGTGCCATTCGCTGTTGCTCTTCAGCTTGAATTTTCCGAATTAAAACTTCACTAGCAATACGTTCAGCCTCCCGCTTGCGTCGCATTTCTTCCTCGGCCATTTGAAGTTGCGCCTCATATTCCCTACGAATTTCTCCAGCCGCACTAAGTATTTTATTTGTTGCTCTGAATCCTAGAAGGAAAAAGTAAGAAGAGATATTTTATTGCACAAAGATTTTATATTTATAAACTTTACGCAATGAGTTGTAAAATATTTTGTGAAATAATGATTCTATAGGATAAATACACGAATCAGCCATACAGCTTCATGAAATTCTACTGGAAAATTTTTCTTTACAATAAGTAATGCCATAACAACAATAAATCTTTCATGTGCGATAAAAATGTTAAATCAAAAAATTAAATGACTTTTCCATAATACTAATAATACATTAAGATCAAAATAACATCATATAAACATGCTCCAAAACGTAATGGAATTTACATAAACATTAATTCTGATTAAACAATGATCGTAAAACGATAGTACGGCTGTAAATGATATTAAGATTTCAGACTGTATATAATAGTTAGGTGCAGTTAGGTTAGGTTATGTTTGTTTATTCCTCAGCTGAAGATGCCTACCAGAGTCCAGCTCGATGTCCTCCTCGTCGCCGTTGTGCTTTCCCTCGACCTCTTTAGGAAATCTGGTACGAATGAACTCCCAAAGCCCGCTGTTTACTAGAGTTTCAGACTTGGTAGCTGTACGTAACCAGGAGCCAACCCGTACTCTGCAGAGGGGACAACTTAAACTGTTGTGTTCGAAAGTTCCCTTGAGGCACCTCAGGCAAAGACTGTGGGTACAGGGCAATGTTACTGGTTCAATCAGGATGCCCCTGCACACTGGGCACATCAAGTCTCTCAAATTCACTTCCCCGGACGCTCGCGATAGCGATAGATCAAACAATTTTGACGTTCGTTTTAAATACGTCGCCATTTTTCCATGTTCTCGACACAGGCACTGCCACCACCACCAGACTTCGTTCTCTGGGGCGAAGGAAGCGAGTCTACGGGAACCGGATCTCATACGGAGAAACAGCAACTTCATAGCTAATGGCTCAGTCGATAAAGCATTATTAAGGGTTTACCGACTGATTCGCCTATGTTGGGATCTACGTTACTGACTGACCTTACTTTCAAAGGAAAATGATAACTGAAGAAGATTAACAAAGATTATTACACACACTTTTTTTTAGTAACACATTAATACATATTTGGAAATCCAGTTTCGTAGCCTGATCGTCATACAATAAGCAAATAATGTCAATTATTCTTAAAATGAATATATAACGCTATGGCAGTGAAGTCCTGGTTACCGCCTCCCAAAATATTATATTGCAAAATAAATGAGTTCATTGCGTTTCAGTGAAACCCGTATAGAAGATTACATTATTCTTCAATAATAGATAGCATAGAGTTACAGACAGCTGGTTTTCCATTGTGACAACAGATTGGCTCCGGACTTTTCAGCCCGGTGAACATCCAAGAAGTTGCGTCACACGATTTGGTGTATACGGCGACCTACGTTTAACAGAAAACTCTGTTGAAAATAGATAAATACAGCTATAAGGAAAGGAAGAATGAAGTTCAAAATATATAGTCATTTAATAGAAGATATATGAAGCAATACCTTCAAGTTATCCACATGTTTGTTGAGTTTTTCGCAAATCATAGCCGGCGCTTTTTCCTTGGCGCCTTGTGCCTGCAGTAACAAATGTATTTTCTAATTTTAAATTATGTCATCTCACTGAGCATAAAGTCTAAGATTGATTTAATTTATCGGCAGCACAATGCTTTTTCAATTTTTAATAATATTTTATACTTCACCAGTGCCATGCAGAGCTGCTGACATTTTTCTGCACCTTCCTGGTCACAAGTTATGTTATACTGCAATGTTTGCTCAATTATCGGATCCAAACTTTCTACATCAAGTACAGCACAACTGCAACCACCTACTGGGACATCGCCTCCTCTAATAAATAATACACAAAAATCACAAATAAGATGTAGAATTAGAAAAATTACCAATTTCTAATATTATTCTTACAGTGTCAACGGTAGGAGCGAGCAAAGGAGCACGAAATTCTTTAATGCTTGATCCATTTTTAAAATACAAGTTCTTTGATTAAATTGATATAAACTGAACGACGTTGCTGAGAATTATTGTAGCTGCCAGCCTGGGCGAATACGTATATATACTGTGAGACTTCATGATAACAGGTAATGGTCAATAGGGATCGGATTGCTATGAGGTGTCTTCTGAAGAATCGAATTTTCTTAAATATGATCGCATACTCGTCGTTGTGTAACATAAGAATCTTTTAAACTAACTTTTAAATATAGATTCAACTATAATCTACTATAATGCAATTAATAATCTCTCGAAAAATGTATATTGGAAACGTAAAAGATATGCTGTTTGGAACAAGACGTTTTCTTTATTATACAACAAGTGAAACATAATGCCCTTAAGGTACAGACAGTGTATCCAAATTGGTTTTAACAAATTGATATTTTTTCATCATATTATGCATAAATGATCATGTTTATCATAAATAGAAATATAGAGTTATTAAATTGCATCGTTATATCGTTATCCCTTTCTATAGGCTAGCAGGTCGCTTCATTATAATATATTGAAACGCAATCTTATTGAGAGAACATGAACGTGTTAAAATGGCGTCTATCGCAAAAGGTGGGACAATCATGTGATGACTTATCACTATAAACATTTTCATCTAGACCATGATATTTTATTAACATTCTGTGTCTTGTTTCCTTACGATATCCTCGTCTCTGATTCGTAGATATCGGTGAAATTTGGAGCAGACTTTTCGATCACCGGCCATTCGTCCAAGGGGAAATAATATATTTCGTACGAGAATTTCAGGTGCATTAAATAAATCTATTGTTAACCATTATCAATGCATACATTTACCAATAATTTTATTAGGTTTTGTTAACTTTTTAATTATAATATAAATTTTGTGCTTATATGATACTGTATCGTTTAGAGCTAATACATTCTCTAATATGTTATGAATTATAACCTGTTGTGTTTGGAAGAAGTGGTAAATTGTGTTGTATTTTGTTTTAGGAAAAAAGGGGCGATAGGGAGGTAGAACGTCTCTTTAAGATTCTTGAGTATTCTACAGAACTTGGACAAAGTCAATTGGATCGAAGCGAACAACTTGGGGATTGTCATTTGCCTAGTCTCAAAGCTAACACCGATGTTGCTCTTAGTATGTGCGAACGTGTACTTCAAAGGGGAGAGGAATTTGATACTGTATGTTTTTAATATTGTTTGCATTAAAGTTTATACTTTTTCAGATGATTGGTATCAATGAATCGAATATGAAATCTTTTACAGGAAAGCAAGTTGCAAGTGAAGAGAGAGCTACGTAAAGCAGAATGGGAAAAGTTTATTAATGATATAAGCGACAAATGTGTAAAAGTTGATCAAACCTTTCAGGAAAAGGAAGAAGAGCTTAAAGAATTTTATGCTGATTTGGAGAAAAAATTGCAGATTGTCCCCTGAAGTATCATAAATTGTTCCTTGATCATTTAAGTTTATTTGTGGTCACTTTACTCGTGTGTTAAATACATTTCTCTAATTTACAGTGCGATCCATTAAGTCCTCTAGTACATACCTATTCCAATAATCTTACTGATACGATTAATTAAACATTCCTTTCTTATCAAATTTATAAAAATGCCTGTGGAACCCATTGATGATCCAACCATTGGTATAAAACCTACATCAAAGTTGATAGATTTCATTTTGAAACAAGTGACAAATGTGGAAAGTGCTCCAGAGGGTGTATCATCCTTAAAACATTCAACGAAAAAACAGCGCGCTAATGTTGTGCTAAAATTGAAAGATATTAAATGGCTTAATGAGTATCTTGAGGAATATCGAAAGTCTTCCGATATAAAAGTCTACTTGCATGATCTTTTGGAAGGTGCTGACATTGATTTACCGATGCCAAAAGTAACGCCGAGGAATCCCGAATTAGAGGCGAGGATTCAGAGGCTGACGGCGCAGCAGAATGCGCGAGAATACAATGCAATGACGAAAGGCGTAGATCCTGTACGGAGACAACTGCCAGAAGATACGATTGCTTATCAGAGTAAGATGAAAGTTTTACATTGATTTTCAAATAACAAATTATCATCAGCACCTTAAAATTATTATGAACCTTATTTATTTATTATTACAGTGAAGGAAATGAACAAACAGCTCATAGCAGTTGCGCAATTTGTCTTCTCCGTCCTCGCAAGTTTCGCTTTTGGCTTTATTGGTATTGAACTGATAGTAGGAAACCTAGATTTTGGATTCAGATTATTATTGGGAATCATTTGTGCACTAATTGTAGCACTAGCTGAAATTTATTTCCTCGCAAAGAAATTGAATGAAGATTTCTATGAAGAAATACCAAAACCAGTATACAAAAAGATGCATCAAGAGTAATTTTATTATTTAATATGTAACACATTTTATATGTGGTTGCACATAAGTGTCGTTGCTTCTACTTATAATAGTTGTGACTGCAAATAAGAAAAACTATATTTAGACTATGCAGATATTACAGCTACTGCCATACTTATAAGATATATAAAATTTAAATTGATTCTTTCAATGTTATAAAGTTAATCACAGAATTTTAAACCAAACAATTGCACTGTATTGTTAAAACCATATTTATTGGAGGAAGCATCTAACTGCAAATTTAGTAACAGGTTAAAATAAGTAATTCGAGTATAATTTTTCAAACAATGCATTTCTTTATTATACTGCTATGTACGTGTATAATATATTAAATAAATTAACATGAAATCATCATGATTGTTCATCTATTGTAACTAGATATAGCTAAGCTATTAAGTACAAACTCAATATCCTTTATATTTTGTCATGAGATTCTACGTTTTAGTAAAATATGTTAATGGACATATACATAATTTTTTGAAGACTTTAAATATCATTACAAATGATTCTCAATATGTACTATGGAATGTCTTTTTAGAAAACTGCATCGTCTTATTCCACATATAATTGTCCTTGTACATAAACAATTGTGATATGAACCAAGAATATAACATTATGAATCCATTCGAGGATTGTAAATATTTGAATTAATGCAATTTGCCAGTTTTGTACAAAACCACTGAAACAAAGTGGTTGCTCAATAAATTTGTACATTTCAAGATTATTCTCATTTGGGAATGATTAAATAGCACGTACTATACTTGACAAGTATTATACATATTTAACATATTGAAATCAGTCTAAGGATATCTTTAGTATAAATATAATATAAAATTACACATGGGATTTTTATCCTTTATTCTCATCTTCACTGTCACTTTTACAGCCGGATTCGCTCTTACCACTTGATTCATGCTTGCCGTTCTCCTTGGTTTCATCATTCTCCAGTTCACTTCCAGAGGAATTTCCATTTTCCATTTTTTCATCCTCACTGTCTTGCGATGACTCACTATCGGACTGACTGTCAATATCCGAATCGGATGAACTTTCAGATGAGCTACTGTTTGGCGAATTCTTAGCCGCCATCATTTGTTTGAAATGTCTAACTGTAATTTTTCTAGGCATTATTGGTCTTAAAAAATCAAGGGTCTCATTTGTCTCCGCTACTTCTGCCAGGTCCTTATAATCAAGTGCATTGCCTTTATTTGCGTGTTCGTGTGCTTCCTTCGATAAGTAATGAATAAACAGTTCCTATAAATAAAAAAAAACAATGTATTTGTGCGTCAACACTTTGTTTGAATTTGGCGCGTACATCGTAAACATGGCCACGGAGGAGACATCACATAGGGCATGTCAATCGTAAATAGTAGTATAAAAGTTATGTAATTATCATACCGTAGCTTTTGCCACCAAGAATAAGCCATCCTGACCAATCGTTTCGACATATGGAGCACTTTTCATAATAGTTTTTACTCTTGATATTGGTAAACGTAATTCCTTCATCTTGCCAAGCGATCCTTCGGACGCCATGCTTTTAAATCCACTTCTGCTCGGACGCAAGATTTGGAGCAATTGATGCTCTTTTGCCGCTCATTTTAAAGCTACCCTGGTTCTGGTGTCTCACTTCCTTTAGAATTTTATCACGTTTTTGCTTCATTCCGCTTCATTTATACAAGATTTAAATGCATTGTCGGGCTGTATTTTAAAGTAAAAAAAATTATGTGACTACAGCATGCACGAAAGTTATCCAATTTGGATTCATTTATATTACTCTAAACAGAAAACGACTTCAGCTCTATTGTTACATAAAATCAATGGTACTGCGCATACAAATAGGCATCCGGTTTACTCTTATGTATTCTAAATAATTAACATTTACTACTGACTGGCTAAAATAACGTGGGTCTGTTTTAAAAATAAAAGTTCATAATTATCAATTATGTGGCAATTTATAATTGCTATAGATTTAGACGATTGCATTATTGTCTTGACTCAATAGTTCGTATCTTTGCAGCCACCAAGAACCATCTCCTCTCTTCGTTTGGACTGATTTGGTGGGTGAACAGTAAATTCGGCGCTGTTTGATTTCCAGTTCTTAAAGAAGGTATAACATTTATCGGATTTATCTGAACAAGTTTTGTGAAATTGGAGTTTAACGGAGGTATTTATATTGCACTTATCGTAGAAACTGAAATGCATATAAAACTACAGTTAATATGTGGTTTTGTGAGTGTTTCGCACTTGACGGTAATTTAAATTTTCAACGTGTAAAGCCGACGGATCGATGCGGCACATGGTCGATTTTCACTAACAACGTTTTTGTGAAAATGATAAAATATTCTTATAAAGTATAAGAACGTATTTCTTTAGGTGTCGTTAAGCAATGCTATTAATATTACAAAGTACTATATACTTTATTATTCTAATGTACAACCTAACCTATAATCTTTGCTCTACGTTTTAAATTGCCAGACAGCTGTTCACGCAATTGCTTACGTCAAATTTTTTTGAGTTTGAATTGCAAGAAATGTCTGTTGTAATTTGATTAAAGCAAATATTGTTTTGGAGTTAATTGAATATACAAGACAACCATTTCGCAAAACCTTTATTCTTGGGTTACACTATATACTATGCAGATTTTTACCTGTAGAGTTTGAAATGAAATTTGGTATTTAAATTGGGCACAAGCTAGTTCCGTGTGATAGTGTACTGCTTATTGATATATGACTATCACTTTGGAAGTTGGATCAAAACAATATAAATCTTGATAAACTTCTTTTTAATGCGTATAGTTAGGGGCATAGTTGATGCTTGGTTTCTGTATTACAGGACCTAAATATTGGGCATCAGAATGTCAACATTCCTTGGCTTCATTGAAGAGATACCAGGGATCTCAGTGGATCGTTTCAATAACAAGAACAAAGAATCTTCTGTATTTTTTCTTAGTCATTGTCATTCTGATCACACGAGAGGGTTGTGTTATTCGTTTTGGAATATGTTACAGGATCGTGGTTTATTTCTATATTGTAGTCCTATCAGTAAAACTATATTAGAATCACAGTTCCTTGATGTAAAAGGGATAAATGTAATTCAAAGTCTTCAAATATGTGATCCTGTTATAGTAAGTTACAAGGATAGTAATAATGCAGAGTTTGTTAAAGTAACTAGTATACCATCAGGACATTGCCCTGGATCAGTTATGTTCCTTTTCGAAAAGAATGATCAAGTGATACTTTATACTGGAGATTTTAGAATTTGTCCAAACGACTTTCGTAACCTAAAACCTCTACATGATTTACAATATGTTCCTAAAAAGTTGCATAAAATCTATTTGGATACAACATTTTTAAATTTGGATTTTAAATATTTTCCAAATAGAAAAGAATGTGCCTTTCAAATATGTTCTGTTCTTCAAGATTGGCTTGACGAGAACTCAAGGAATGTTGTGGTTCTTGAATGCTCAGCAAATTATGGTGCTGAATTTATTTTTGAAAAAATAGCTGAAAAACTAGGAAAGAAAATTCATGTCAAAGATTTTCTGTATGAAATTTATTTAAAAATGGACAAATTTTCAAGATATGTCACAAATGAGACAATGACTACTCCGATCCACGCGTGTATGAACAAATCGGACCGTAATGTTTTAAAATGTCGTCCATGCTCTGACGTTAAGATAGAAAATATTATGACAGTCGTACCGTCAGCAATGATATGGAAAGGAAAAGATTTATCAAGAATTTGGCAATGGGATCAAACTAGAGACAATACTCTTAACGTATGTTATTCCACGCACGCGTCATACGAAGAGCTAGTTGCTTTCTTGAAATACTTTAAACCGGACGAAGTATATCCTTGTGTATGCAAAAAAGAACAACGACTAGAAATGTATCATCTTTTGCGCGAGATAGCAAAAGAGTCTGAACAAAAAAAAGATGATAAGAAAGAATATGTGTTGAGCAAATCTTTACAGGAAAGATCTGACCTGAATTCTTTCAAATCAAAACATTTTAGCGATCAGGAAGATTAACAATAATTATTATTAATAATAATGGAATTCAATATATCATATAATAGAATATAATTATAATTATATTGTTATACTTTTATATATTTTATGAAAAATAAATTTAATCAATGCAATATGATTTTGCATGCTGTGTTCTATATTGGGAAGGCCAAACATACATTATAACGTACAGTGTGCATAAAACTCTTTCTTAGTCTCTATCTTGTTCCAGCATTTTAGCATTCACTTCAAAAATAAACCATTTAAAACATGGCAGCGACAGCATTGGCTCAAGAAAAAATCTGGCTGGACAAGCCATCCTATGACAAAGCCGAACGTCTTCACTTTGAGCGTCTCGCCAAGGTAAAAAAGAATTCATAAATCCAATCGCTCTTACCGTCTTGTGCACCGAGAAGATATTGATAAAGAGATACGATCCCTGTGTGTCATTTTAGACACAGAGTATACAATCTTCTTTACAAGTATCTCCCCGATGTCTTTTGTGGTTTCTCCAATGGAGAATTGATGATGAAAATCCTGATTCAAAACTGTCCATGAAAAATGTTCCTAAAAATAAATGCCTTTAGTATTTGAATCCTCAATAAATATAAATATCCAGTTTGAATATCTGTAATGCCCAACTTACTACCAAGGTTGAAATTTTTTCTTGAAAAAAAATCGCAAATATTTCTACTATATTTAGGAACATGAGTTTTGGAAGTTTTTCTTGCTCCCATTGGGACCCAGCATCCACACTATTGAACATTTGCCTTATTTGATCTCTTGTCTCACACGACTAATGATTAATGATATTAAATCTCTAACGCTTGCTTCAGGGAATATCTGGTGGTTGGTCTAATGTATTCTTAGAAATATACAAAAACCTCATTTTTCATTTCCGCGGGATTTCATTACGGTGATAGGAGAATACTACTCGATTCATACAATTTTCGTCATATCACATTACATTATACACACGTCATATGTCATAGAACCTAATTCGTATCGTTTATAAATATTTGTTTATACCTATCTGTTATTTTAAATTGAAACAGTATCGAAATAAGGGGGAACTGTAGTGCTTTTTCTACGTGTTCGTGATTTACATGGAAAAAGGCTCGAAGCGAGGAAAGTATGTAACTGTATTTAATAAAATCAAAGCCTTTCGACGAAATGTCAAATCGCTTTGAAGCGCATTTTTTAATATAATTCTCTAGAAAATAAAATATAAATAAATATTAATACTGACAGGTTTGTAGAGGTACAACAGACTATATCACTGCTAGAAGTTAATTTGAAGTCGATAAAAAGATTTTTGGGCGAGAATACATGAAGCTGTCAACCTGCAGATTTTCTTGGCCTTTTGTAGTAGTCTGTTCGCTAGTAATTTTCCGTGGCAAGGCTAATATTATAAACGAAATTTTTCCTGTGGTTCACTACGGTTCCCCTTTTAATGCCTTAAGGCTTTGCGATTATTGCGTTCTTCGCGTTGGGACTTTAATGTTTTCGTAGCTTGGGACTTGTTGCAAGGTGGTGTCTGATATCATAACGGAACGATCCTCGCCTAATTGTAACGACATTGTGGCTGCTAATCCTCGAGATCCAACAAATTCCAATCTCCCATTAAAGTCCAAAAAGCCTAAAGAGAACAAATCGCTGGTTCAGGACAACGGATCACAAGGCAGTGCTAAGCACTCCAAGTGTCATGGCAAAAGTGCTAAGGCGGCCAAGAAGGTGGAGGAACACGTAGCGAAACAGACTGATACGGCTGTGAAAATTGATAATCAAGTAGATGTTAAAGACAAGGAGGTGATAACGAGTGGAAACGCGACTGAGAAATATAAGCCGAAGGAGGTGAAGGAGAAAAAGAATAAGGCGGACAAGAAGCACAGAAAGCAGGAAGAGGAAAAGAATAATACGATAAAGCAAATAGAGCAACTCCCAATAACGAATCAGCAGGTACACCTCGATTTCGTTGAGGGCGATGTGCAATTAGCTTGAAATTTTTTATTTTCCTCTTTTTGGCATTTTTTAAATGATTTTAATGTTGCACATTTTACGTCGAGTGTATTTGTGTTGCTGTTTTTTTCTCCCTTTAGCAGATTAATTTCGAATTTATATAGAACTATGCAATTTTCGGAAATATTCTATACATTTATCAATTTACGTTTTATAAGTTCTAAATGGATAGTGTGCAGTTGATGTTTTATAAATTTCCCCCCAAAAAATTGGGTCCTTTGTATTACTCAAAAATTTCCTTCATCCCTTAACGGTAACGACAACTGATTAGACGTGTCTTTCATTATCCTCAAACCTTTAAATGTGTCTCGATTATTTTTTGTCTGTGAAAAATGTAAAAACGCATGAGAATCGTAATTAGAGTTGGACCGGACGGGATCTTACTTATTAACAACATATTACAATGCATGTTCGACCTTAATGTCTGTAAAACAAATTGTTTTTAAGAATTTCGAATTATCATATTAAAACTTGTATAGTATTACAAATAATCACAAACTACACTCAAGAGATTTACTTTTAGCATGCCCATGGTTTTATGAAATGGGGCTTGCCATTGAAAGAAAAAAAATCTTTCTACCGCAGTTCCAATGCCTATCTCCACTCAGGACAATTTTACATGTCCAAGGTGCAAAATTATTTGCGCATACAAAATAGTAATTGAACTATTGAATTGTTAGATACTAAATTCTTTTTTTTAAAATACATCTGATGCCTCTATTGCTATACGTTGTGCCTTGATGGAGGTAGTGCATTGGATTGTATGCAATAATCAGCCTGGTGTGAGTTGACCTTTAATGTCGGTGGATGCAGGGAACCCAACAGTCCACTTGCCCAATCTTACCCGCCAGTGGAAGTTTAGCCAACGAGGTCGCCAAGGCACGTCAACACATTAAACAGTCTTTACAGTGTGTGAGTACTGTACTCCTTGCTCACCCTTAAACATAGTATAAAATCACAACATTTTCTTGCTAATAATATAATTTTATTACAATTGACTATCACCTGCCTAATTTCTTTCTTGGCACGCGACTGGGCTTTATAAAATTCCAAATTGAAGACTTTACCACATTATTCACTAAAAGTTCAAACGCACACTTCGTTATATAAATTAACTAGAAAAGAAGAACAATTGCGATTGACCCTTTTTTTTTACCTTTAATTAACGTCCTTTAACGAATGCATTTTTCAGATGGATGGTATCGCTGCTCTTGCTGGAGGTTCCAACCAGGAGGTCATGTCACGTGTTTCCGCCCTTGAAAAGGAGAATCAGGACCTCAGGAATAGTACGTACATTGATGATGAGCTTGTTCGTGAAATGGTAACGATGCACGTGCAGTCAAATCTGCTAGATAAAGTAGCTAATTTAAGTATCAATAATTGATGTACAATTAATTTGTTTAATTACAAACTCTCTTGTGCGCGAGACAGAGAGATCTGTTGTTTTATAAAGAAAAGTAGTGAGGAAAACCTTGTTCTTTAATTCTTTGAGTGCGGAGCCAAAATTACTTTTCATGGCCTAAAGTGGGAGAAGAAAAATTGAAAGTTGGTAGAAAAAGCTGCGAGAGGTATCTTGTCCCTTGCAATGAGAGGGGTAAAGATTGTATTAAAAAATTTTATATAAATTTATATTCTTTACGCATGCTGTATCAAATACTCTTATGCACTTATTTTAGAATAATGTAATATATAATTTTTATTTCTCTTTTCTTACCTCTTCTCTATAAATATCTTTGAACAGTGTATCAGGAATTAAAGATCCTTGTGGAACAATTGGGTGGACGTGTGGTAACTCTTGAGGAAAAAACGGCTTTGCCATCCGCACCTGTAGTTGCGGTTTGTCCACCAAATCCTGCTGCATCGGCAACCAAACCCCAGGCCAAGGACGCTGACGATGACGTTGATCTTTTTGGTTCAGACTCAGAGGCAAGTGGGAAGAAACTAACGAGGGCTGCAAACTACAAATAACAAGATAGTACTTCATGTCTTATATGCTACTTGAGTATTGTGATTTCAATGTAGCAGACAAATGTCGCGTCACGAGTCAAAGTTCATAATTCATTATAGTTTTATAAGTGTCAGGAGTAAGAAAAATGTATTACCAGTAACTTCTCTATCCACTCTACACCAGATATTCCCAAGAACTCTACTCAAAATCATCATTCGTTTACATGGTTTTCAATCGACACTTTTCGTCGAGTTTCACGTACACTTTTAACTTGGACACAATCGTTTTGCATTTTTTATTTTATTAATATTATTTGTCATTCATCCACATTATCGATCTTGTTTTCATTCACTTGTTAGGGCGAAGACGCCGAAGCAGCTAAAATTCGTGAGGAGCGCATTGCCGCGTATGCTGCTAAAAAATCCAAGAGTGAGTTAATTTGAGTTTAATGGTAGAAATTTTAATTTTCTTAATTGCATTATTTTGCTTTTTTCGTAGAACCTGCTTTGATCGCCAAGTCAAATATTATCTTGGACGTCAAGCCATGGGATGATGAGACCGATATGAAACTCTTGGAAACGGAAGTACGGAAAATTGAGGCTGATGGACTTCTATGGGGTGCTGGTAAACTATTCCGAAATGTTATGATAAATAAAATAACGTTGGACTATTCGTGTTTTTGCACTCTTGTTTTTTTTTTCCAGCCAAATTGGTGCCACTTGCATTTGGCATTCACAAGCTTCAAATTTCCTGTGTTGTGGAGGACGAGAAGATATCAGTGGATTGGCTCACCGAGAAAATACAGGAATTGGAAGATTTCGTTCAGAGCGTCGATATTGCTGCGTTTAACAAAGTTTAAAATTTTCTATGTCAAGCAAAAGTTTACAACAACAATTTTAGCTGCAATTTAAGAATGGTCTTACAGTGCCATTATCTTCATTCCATTAGTAATATTCATCATAGTACACCATAAATGTCACGTGCGTCAAATTTATGTACTTTCTCCAAATTATAAAGGAGGTGGGAATGCCTCTCTGACTAAATTTGCAAAATTATATCATTTTCAAATTTATGCAGAAGCCTAGACGCTTTCAGAATATGTACTTGGAATATAGAAGTGGAAGTGAAATATAGTAAATTGCAACATTATTTCTAATCAATCGAACGTGTAGGAATGACAGGAACATATATAATATAAAAGACAGTACACTCGACGTAACTATACTATAATTCATAAAAATTAAATATTGATTGTGCTTCTATACCAACTTATGAAATATGAGCATATTTGTACACTATTTTTAGATGTGGAATTCGCATAAGAAATGAACTCGGCTATCAACTTTGTCTCCTATGATTATTATTGTTGTCAAATAAAAATTCTTTTGATCCAAAACTGACTAAATTTTCATAGTTGTATTTGTAAGTATGTCGCGATTTATTTGTATCTTTCCAAAAACATAGTTGAACCATGAAATTTGAATATACCGCTTGGTCATAGTGGCGTCATCTAACGAGTAGTAGCTCCAATGGGTATTAGAGAGTTTTGCAGAGATGAGTGGGCAGATGCACAACGCTCCCGCTTTAGGCGATACCAAAAGCATGGCGCTAAATCGTAGCGGCGAGTCCGGGAGTAGGATTTCGTGATCGTCCCCTCTGTCGATGTTACAGATTTCGCGTAGCCGCGCGGGTCATGATCATCGTTCCAGCCGATATTGCAGTCAGTGAAAATGAATGGATTGCTCGGTGGTGGGGAAAATTTAGCCGCAATCCATTCGTTTTCCCTGACTGCAATATCGGCTGGAACGATGATCATGACCTGCGCGGCTACGCGAAATCTGTAACATCGACAGAGGGGACGATCACGAAATCCTACTCCCGGACTCGCCGCTACGATTTAGCGCCATGCTTTTGGTATCGAGTCAGGGAAAACGAATGGATTGCGGCTAAATTTTCCCCACCACCGAGCAATCCATTCATTTTCACTGACTGCAATATCGGCTGGAACGATGATCATGACCTGCGCGGCTACGCGAAATCTGTAACATCGACAGAGGGGACGATCACGAAATCCTACTCTCGGACTCGCCGCTACGATTTAGCACCATGCTTTTGGTATCTCCTAAAACCGGAGCGTTGTGCATCTTCCCACTCATCTCTGAATCTTGTTTCTAGCGTCGTTTCTATAGGACGGAATCAGACGGAACTGTTTTACGGTATTATATTTACATTCCAAAAGTGTTAAAAAATCTGATTTATCAAAATGACTATGGCAATGTTGCAGCGTAGAGCTAATGTAAGTTACCACAAACAATTGAATTGTCATATTTTGATAAATGTGTTTAGTTTTATAAAAACAACCACAGAGCTTGACATAACCTACAAATTTCAGATATATACATTTTTCTTTATTAATTTATATCATGTTTTAGGTAAGGCTACCACCTGAAGTAAATAGGGTATTATACATAAGGAATCTACCATACAAAATCACAGCTGAAGAAATGTACGATATTTTTGGAAAGTACGGTGCCATTAGGCAAATCCGAGTGTAAGTAACAAGACTTGAATATTATAAGATGCATATTGCGTTCTGATTATTTTTTCATTTTATGCTCCAAAGAATTATTTACTTATTTACCATATGATTTTAGAGGAAATACTGCAGAAACCAGAGGTACAGCATTCGTCGTATACGAAGACATATTTGATGCAAAGAATGCTTGTGACCACTTGAGTGGTTTTAATGTTTGCAATCGTTACTTAGTTGTATTATATTATCAAAGTAATAAGGCATTCAAACGTGTGGATGTTGACAAGAAGATGGAAGAAATTGATAAACTTAAAACAAAATATAATTTAAACGAGGAAAAAAAATGAGAAACAACAGAAATTGTTTACAAAAGTGAAACTGAAAGTTTTGTTCTCATAAAGCTAATGAATCTAAATTGATGAACATGATACAAAATAATCTTAATGACAAACTATGATATCGGACATTACAGTAAGTTTGTAAAAATAATTATAATTGTTAGCAATATAATAATACATGGCTGAATAAATTTGTACATAAGATTCTAAATATAGATTTTTATCGTATCCTCCCTTTCAAATAAAACATGCAATTGGGTTAAAGACATGACAATTTCCAATGATATTAAAAAAATATTATTCCCATATAACTTAAGTAATGCCCATTCGTATACAGCACAAATATGAATATAAATTTCGACCAACATAATATCGATATTTTCCCTCGTAAGATTCAGTTATTCAAATGAAATAAAGTCCCATATAAACGTTCAATTTCCTTTTAAACCGCTTATCGTATACCAAACTCGGTACTTCCTGTCTAAAAAGAATCAGTATCAACGATACAATTAAACCATCCTATTTCAACTTTCTCGATTCATATTAAAGACCCACCGCGGTGTGTGCAAAGTGACACAACTTCAAACCATTCTTAACAGCCCATTGAATTTGTAAGTTGCTCGCCGTTGTGAAATACTGCAATGACCGACGAATCAAATTTACTGGCTTTGATTTCGTCTTCTCTCGGCAGTTGCCCCAAGCAACTATATATATGCATACATATAATGCATACACAGTAGGTACCGAACAGGAGAGTATTTTTGTATGGAACGCGATCGGCTCTTGCTCCTCTCATGAAAAGATGAGACAGCAAGAGAGAGAGAAAGAGACAGAAAAAGCGACACGAAAAAATGTCGACGCATTAAAAGGCTGTAATTAATACGACTTTCACAGTCGCTCGCGGAGTGGCATTCCTCTGCTCTCGGAGACCTGGGATCAATGCTATAAGGCTGCTGCATATATCGAGACTGCGAGACACCCAGTGCATATACATACGCTAAAAATTTACCATGCAAAAAAAATAGATTGAACATCTTACATAGTAATAATTATATCCTGTGCCCAAGTGAAATAATCTAGCCCTTGGTTACTGATACGCCTGAGAATATAATAAAACAGTACAGTCACATTACCAAGTTACATTCCGCGCCAATAGGATTTAGAACCTCCTAGTAGTGGAGGTTTATTTATGGAATTTATCCAAAGGCAATGGCTGCGACTAATGCACCTGTAGCAGCACATTGCATTTGACAAATACCGACATCTTACTCGAATCTGCACTAGGACTGTAAGTGCAATAAAAGGACAAAAAAAGAAGTGTGTCCACAAAAACATATTCACGCGGATGTCTAACAATAGCGAATGCACATGGCGACTCTTAAATCCGGCGATTCGAACGGATTGGCGGGAATCGGTCGCAGCGACAATCACATGTGCATCCGCCACCCCCTACTCGCAGTCCACATGCAACCTACTCAAGGTATATACGCAGCCGCGCAAAGGCACAACTACAGCCCGAGTACGACATTCGATTTCAGTCGAAAGGGAAAACTGCGCGGCAGTTGAGTGCGTCGTGACGCCAAAGGGGTTGGATCGACGTTTGTGTGATATCGGCGCGACTTACGTCGCTCGTTTTGAGCGTCTAGAGACACGTCAGGAAACAAGCGCCAGATCTCATCAGGTGTTCGGAAGGTGGTCTTATATTAAGGTTGACTCAAATGTCATATGAGTGCTGCGGTGACGGCCATGCTGCCGGTGGAACATTCACAGCGTTGGTACGCTTGGCGTTAAGATTCTTCCGTGTTGTTTACGAGTCCGCGGTAGACTGTACAGACTACCTCACGTCTTGGCTACTCGTGGCGCTGACTATTGCGACCTCGGCCGCCTTGACTCTACACGTCGCAATCAGACGATCCCATTGGCAGCCTAACGGACATATACCCGTTCCAATTGGTCGAGAAAGACACATTGCCGATGAGACTGAAAATATCAAGGAAAGGATATGTCGTCTGCTGAAGACCCAGCCGCCTCCCAGGAGGAGACTTTTAATAACGGACAGTGAATAAGCGTGGGTGTCAAGTCATACTGATAGGGGATGATAGTGTTGTGACGAGATCCATGCTGATATTATCGAGGTGGGTTGCTTGCCACTTCAATCTCTTTACCTTATAACTTTTTATTGAACATGTAGGCTATCGGTATTCCGTTAATGTCACAATAAAGATTTCAAGTGCAGGGGGATGTTTCTATTCATTAATTTTATATACCGGAGATTATCAGTTACAATTGTGATGTATGCATTAATCTCGAGGTGATGAAAAGAAAGAATTTATCCTAGTGATATTCAAAGGACCTAAGGTCGCATTTAAATACGCAGACAGTCGATACGTCTGACGTATATAGATTAAGCAGTATCGTAATGAATATTCTAAGAATCATCATTGATACTATACGGACTTCCACGAAATGTCTGCCAGACGTACAATCATGTAGTAGTAGGTATCTGGTTATAGGGTGGTCATTCGTGGTCGTGAGACTAATCGGTGCGTGGAAACTATAGACGTTCAAGGGTATAACTGTAGAGTGGTAGAGTATGTTTGTCTACCGTCTGGATAAATATGTCGCAGGGCTACCTACCAGCTTGTGCCTTTCTTTAATACTAACTTTATGTCTTATACGAGCTTGATGATGTGACTGTGGCCTTGGTCACTGTTGCTTCTGATGTTTAACAACAGTTGCCCAGCTATTTAGTCCTCGAGTCTACTATACTCACAACATATAGGTATACAATTTGATGTAATAGTTCTTGATTGATTAATTTTCAAAGTGTTTACATAATGAGTTGTCTTTAAATGAGAATATAAAAATTAGGGCTCGTTATACATGTACATACACGACTGTCACGGTTTATTCATTCCTTCCTGAAGAATTCCAATGCGCATCAACCGCTGCGCATATTCAAAAATTCAAACGTCTCCATAATTTTCAGGCGTACCAATTGGCTTTCGCGAACGTCGGCAATCGAAGAGCACAAGAGGTTCCGGCGAATTTTACACTAGAGATGATTCGAATCTGAAGCTCACGAGGTGGAATGATAATTAAAAGAAAATTGTAAGGCCTCGAAGGGACGTATACCTGCTTCTTAACCAATTACTTCCCATCGTATCGTAGAGGCTCGTGAATCTTGAAATAAATACACTCTGATTGGTGCTCCCAGTGATTATCGCGATACGTGCGTTGCGAAAATCCCACTCTACCTATGGATGGATCAACTGACAATTATATATCCAGTCTACCAAGGCTCCTTTTACGATAGGGCAGGTGTGTCCAAGAGAAACCGGATCGGAACAGGAAGAACGTAAGAGCGTAACGTTTATAGTAGCACGTCATGGCCACTTTAAAGAAAAGGAGGAAAGAAGAGCGAAAAGAAAGAAAAGATTTTAAAAAGAGGATACAAACAATTCTAGATCGAGAAACGTAGCTTCCGAGGGACTGGTTTTGCTAGTAACTTTCATCGTTTCCCTGTTTAAGGTTCCATTTTATCCTTTTCTCAAGAATCCTCAGCCTATACTCAACGCTCCACTATACTCAACGCTCACATCCGGTTGTCTCAGCTATCGCTACGTACCGGAAGTTCACTGTGTACGTGTACACTCTATACGGTTCACTTTTATTTTTATTTTATTCTCCATTTACTTAACATGCTTGTATCTGTTTATTCAAAACACTTCAGTTCAGGGCTCGCCGTTGACCTTTAACGCAAGTTGATAATATTGCGTACACACGGTATACACTTATGGGAGCTCGTTACTAAGTGATACTACGAACGCGCTAACTTCCCCCAGACAATTCCACTGAGTTCTTTGTCGAAGAGGATGAAGGTGGACGATGGTCAATTACGCCACTGGTACCAGTACGCTTCCGGGACCTCTCTTACTTCTTAATTTCAATGGCTACACCCAATACAGTGGATGAACTGTCATCAAGGGATGCTAACCAAAGAGAAAAGTCACCAATAGTCAATACCCAGCTAATCATCTAGTCCAAGCAAGCACACACAACTTGATCACTCAATGATCAAGTCATGATCCTGGATGACTCCTAACTCTAATATGATGTTCGTCATTTCACAAAGCAATAAAACTTTGTAGCAACGACACAAGAATATTACGAGTCTCCTCACAATGATTATGGTAGCTGATGATCATCGGCCGTATGCCTGTAAAGAAATGATTTTCAGTAATGATTCCTATTAGCATGCATGAGCTATACACACGTATATTCCTGCCTATTATTATAAGGGTATAATGAACATTCTATCACAATGACGTTGTTATTGCTTGTAATACCTCAGGGGCTCTCAAGTGTATCATAAAAATTATTTCTTCAGGGTTTTACTAGCTATAGCTGACAAAAATATTTATTTGTAATATTTTTATAACGTGTACCAGCGGTATGACGGGGTGTGACATATCTGTATAAGATTATCAACTGGAGTGCTGTCACGAAGTGGTTTTATTTAGACAGTTGAAATATACAGAATTAATTATAGAAATATATTTATATATAAGGAACTTGTCAATTATTCAGAACTTTTACAAGACATCTTGCGCTACTCGAACGTCGTTAGCAGATGCTGGGAACTTTTTCAAGAGCGTTTTACGACACTGGCATCCCTTTATTCTTTGGCAGTTTTATATTCACTGCAAATTCACTAGCGAGGTTACTGACTCTGTAATACAATGTTCGGCCTCAGGATTGTGTAAATATTTGCCGCTCATTAAGACATCTGCATTTAATTACAGACGGTGCGCATTCGTCTTACAGAATGACCGATCAAGTAAGTCCTTCAATGCATTTACTGGAGTTCTGTTTATATTTATCATTCTCTTTGTCTTTCTTATCTATTTCTTTAACACTCTTATTTCACTCGTTCGACTCGCTGAGAAATTTTCACTCGAGACGTATGAGCCTTGCATTAATACAATAGGTGAGCCTTGTGGATTAATTACAGCTAATTAATGACTCCTTTTAAAAACCTAATCATCTAATGTTCCCTCGTACGTTGATTACATCATCCGAGCACGAGGTGACGTTTTACCAATTTTCTCATATCTCGTAATTAGTAGACGTAATTTTTTTTTTCTTTACGCTTCTCATAATTAACCTCAAAATGTATGACTTTGTCGCACTTTCATTTTCACTAATGAG